TTGGCCGAGGGTAGAACCTGGTTTAGCGGAAAATCTGAAGGTTTCTGAAATTTCAGGTCCTTGAATCAGATGGCTAGTTCCGTGCCGAAGGATATGAGTATTTATTTAATACGAAGGCAGTCTATTCTACCACTACGTCAGCCGTTGTGTACTTGGGACGTTTGCAGTCTTCGGCGAAAAACGTTGCATCCATCAGAGATGCACCAGAGCCACAGCATGGGAAAGACACATGTTAAGTGTACAGCAGTGTTATCTGTGAGTTTCACGACTCATTGATTTTTCGTACAACATGCAAAAAGGAGAAGTATCCACCTAATCCTTTAGTTAAATGGATATTGGTAGGTAATAGCAGCATACATGGTATCACCCTTCAGTTTCCTAACGTTAACGATATGTCGGTAACGCCTGAGTCGTAGTGCCAGCTGACAGCTGTAAAGATGCTACTTTACTATTTATGTGGGTGCACAGTTTTTTATCGCGAAAATCTCTGAAGGGAGTTACACCACCTTAAGCCTCTTTCTGAAGGACGAGTTTACTTAACGCTGAAGACGTTGGTAATAAGATCTTTGCTCCTGTCGTTGTGCCCATAAACATAACATCAAGAAACACGATCATCATCACTATTATGCTGACTTTTCGGATTGTACTGGATTCACCTTCGGAGAGCCATTTCATATCAACAGTTGCAAAAACAATGAAACCATGAAACTTTAAATTATTAAAATAATTGATGTGAAATTTTCCTTGAAGTGGAAGCAGTACGATCTGTCGTTGTGACGTGAAGTCGAATGCGATGAAAATAACGGAATCTTCTTCATCATAATCGTCTTCCATCGCCGCTTATCCTTTCGGGTCACGGAGGCAGACGCATCAGACAGTGCTTCCAACGTTCTCGATCCTGTTGCACAATCTGAGCTTCGCCAAAAGACAACTGGAGTACGCAACACACTCCTTCCATATGTTTGCACCAGGTCAATCTTGGCCGTCCCCTGGGCCTTTTGCCGGTCAGATTTGCAAGGAACAGTCGCTTAGCCTTCCTTTCTGGAGGCATTCGCAACACATGACCAAACCATCGCAGCTGTGACTTCTCAATCTGGAGAAGCAAAGGCTGTAATCCAAGGCTCTTCCGGATGT